TAAACACACTAACTAGCGGAAGTGTTTGAGGGCAGGTCAAACTCGCGGGCAGGTGGGGATTATGCAAATGTGCTACCCAGTGACGTAAACCGGTAACAGGCAAAAGATTCGAAAATATGACGACACGTTAAGGCGATTCAGAATCGACTCTCTCTTTTGAGAGAAAATATCTTTATTTATCATGCACTTTTTTGATGAACAACTTTGCAGATTGTTTTCATTTAAGGATAGCTACGTTATAAACTGCAACAGAGATATTTTTCAAAAACCCATATGACCTGCTCTTTAAAGCTTTTTTGTGTGATTTATACAATACTTTTCATGTGCCATGATTTACAGTATGCTTAAAACCTGGGGTTTACTCAAGGGCATCATTATAATAGAGCAGTATTGTGATCTTGGTTACACTCCTGCCTTGGGATTTTCCTGCAATCTGTGTTAGATAACTAGTTGCTTAACCGTTAAGCTACCTCCATTGTTTTGATTTTCTTTTGAACAAATGATTTAAAAAAAGATTTTTATTTCTTTGAAATGTGTCCTACTAAAACATTTTTAGTATATTTTATTATCTTTATCTCTTTGCATTCATCTTGGTTTCATAAGATTTTAAAAATGTTTATACCATATTCAAGAAAATTGAACGTTTAATTACGAAACTTAAATATGTAACTTCTAACCAATAAGTAAACAGTAAAAACATTTTGAATACACTTTGAATACACGTGAGTGCACAATTTATTTGTTAAAAGTTTTAAAATATTTAACAGTATTTTTTGTATAAATTTTTTTTTAGTTTTATTATTTTTTACCTTCACACAGTCATGAAGGTCTGCAGGGGTCTTAAGATATAATTCCTGTTTATTTTATTTTTATTTTTATTTTTTTAAATATATATTTTCTTTTCTGTCAAGTTGAATGCATCACATGACTTTTTTTCAAATTATTTATTAAAGCAGTGAAGTAGTAAAATATTTTTTTTTCCTAAAAAATAATGATAAAACATTATGTCAAACAATTGAAAGTTTTATTTTGAATGTCATTATTTTAAATAGGAATTTTTCTCATTATTACATCAGGACAGCTCAAACGAAATTTTAATTCAAAAATTAAAAGCATGCTCATCTTGCATTTAAGTCTTTGTTTGTATGCATTACATTTTTTTTTATGTATTTTTGATTAAAATAACAGATAAAAATTATCATTGTGTTAATAGCCCATGTATTACAGACTCCAATTAAATCTCTCTAAAGTTTTGTCATTTGACTACAGAGAGACAATGAAAAAATTGAAATTCTCATCACTAAGCAGACAGAAATAAAAGAAGGTATGATGAAACAATTGAGCTTGAAATAAAGCCTGGTTTGACTGACAACTTGCATTTTTCCTGTGGGATTCTCCACTAGTCTGAAATTCAGGACTTTTTCAAAGACCCCCCTGGCTATGTGTTTAGGCCCCATGAGGGTGTGCAGACCCAAGTTTAAACAGCAATCCCTTTGCCCCAGGCTAGTCATACAACAGCCTTTGGCAACAACATGTATCAGAAAAATGGTGTATTCATTTTGATAAACACTGCAGGCCTTGTAAACAGTGAAAGTCTGCTTGCTCTGACTTACCCTGGCCTAACAGCTGAGTGCGAAAAGTCTCCTGGAAAACTATAACAGCAGGTCCCAGGCTGGAGAGCGGCACGTCCAGCCCGCAGCGGCTAGACAGAGCGCGGAGTTCAGGCGTGAAGTGCTTCAGGTAAGCGGCCGACGCGCTGCCGAGGAACTGGAACATGTCGTTGTGCAGCCTCTCGGCCCGCGTGCGGTAGATGGCCACGTCTGATACGGCCAGAACCTTCAGCAGCAGACGCATCCGGCGGTTCTGCTGACTGGCGGCACCGAGCAGGCCCTCCGTGTCCAGCACGATCAGGTTCAGGAGTGGCTCGTAAGCGGCCCATACGCCCACCGTGCATGAGGATGGAGAAGGAGACGTGGCGAATACCTCCTCGCCATCGAAAAGCACGTGATTGAGAGTGTGAGACTTGCCGTCGCCCGTGTTGCCAAAGATGGAAAGCACTTTGACTCCTTGCGCGGCGCTGCAGCCCAACTTTTGCAAAAACTGAGCTTCGTTCTTCACCTGGAAGAGAGAAAGTGTACAAGGGAGATGAAGTTTACAGAAATTGTCACACTATCTAGATGACTGTCTATCTATATCTGTCTATTTATCTATCCATCAATCTATTGATGTGTTTATCTATCTATCCATCAATCTATTGATGTGTTTATCTATCCATCTATCTAAAAATCTGTCTGTCTTTCTATCTATCTGACTGTCTGTCCATCCATCCATCCATCTATCCATCTATCTGCCAATCAATCAGTATGTCTGTATGTCTGTCTACCAATTAATTTAAATGCAATTCAATATTGCCAAAGCTTGGAATATATGCAAAAAATAGAACAATATGTCATCACATGACTTAGACAATGTAACCAATTAGACCAATATAACAAAAATTTGTTAACAGCTGGAGATCACAGTGTTTATCAGAAGATCACTTAAATGTCTACATACCTACACACACACATAATACGGAGGGGTCCAGTTCTTAGCTTCGAACGTAGCAATTCTATGAGACTCGAATTTGTATGTAAATTCCGATGTAAATTCAGAATGAGTTTGCAGAATTCTGTGTTAATGGTTTCTCTCCCACCGGTCTGTCTGATTGTCTGTCTATCGCCATTTGTAAGCATCTTAAAGGGACCGATCACCCAAAAATGACAATTATGTTATCATGAATGACGAATGAGTCACCCTGCCTTTGTGTGCCACTGAAGAAATAAAGTCATACGGGTTTGAAACAACAAAAGACTAAGTGCATAAAGAAGCTTAATTTACAGTAACAATCTATCACAGTGACAGCAACTGATCACTTTCAGGCTGGTTCCTGAAAACACTATAAACTCTCCAAAACGACACTGTCACTGTTGACTCTCTATTAAGGGTGTCCAGCTAATAGATAACATGGAATGACTGCTATATTTGAATACCATGGTATTACTAAAGTACATCAGAATAACATGTTAGAGCCATGACATAACAGCAGCATACAGTACTGAGATCTTTTAATGTCTGTAAATCACACTAGGACAGACTGTGTTGACAGATGCATCATCTGCTGTAGCACATGGCCCTGCTAAAGCACACAGACCTGAGATCATGAATGTACGTGACAAAAAAAAGACCCGAACTACACAAGCCCTTGATATAATCTATGATGATCAATGGCTAAAGATCACATGTCAGTGATCAAAAAATGTTGTCAAAAGACAGCTCTTCCGTGTGATTCACTAATACTATCAGTTCAGGCTTGGTTTATCTGTATATTATTTATTTTACACACACTATAATTAGTTACCAGCATGCTGTTGAATTGCCAAACACCTATCAAAACAACTAAGACAAAACATGTGTTGTTTACCTAATAGCTCGATCGCTAACACAGAAGCTAACAAAAACAAACCTGCAAGCTTTCGTTTTCGTCCACCAGGAGAAAACTCCGTCCATTTTCTTTCTGCTCGTCTATTTTAACAGGCCCGAGAGAAATCTCTTCCATATCTTTCAGCAGCATTTCAGACATCGTGATTTCACACCATCACAACTCTCTGGAAAGCTAGTTAATTGGACTACAGCTGTCCCAGGACTACTAAAGTTACCTGCTACTACTGTTCTGCAGGCGTTGCTTGGTTTTCTAGCTGAACTCAAGAGGGCGCTGTTGCTGCTCTATCAGCCGCTTTCATTGTGGATTATTGAGCATTTTGACGCCCTCTAGTGGCTATTATGTGGCTATTCTTTCAGCAGTCTGTGTGCAAAATGCAGAAGTTTATCCTGTAGTATCCAGATCAATAAAAACAAGTCTCCGTGATACAAAGCTCTCACATGAGCTCATTATTGTATGATTAGGAAATCAAAGTTTTGCAAAATTGGTAAAAACTTTGTTGGCAGGTGCAAACAGAATATAACTGATGTTTAATTTTAGTTTTAGAATGTATTGCAGTGCAATATCTTAAATTGAAGATTTGCTCAACTCTAAAATCCCCTAAAATGCACCAATTCGGCATTAACAGGACATTTAGGTTCAGAGTCATTCCATAGAGCTTGCTAAGGTTCATTAAATATTTGTTAGCAGGGATCTATAAATATCACATGTCACAGAATGCCTTCAAAGTGGCGCCATTGCAGTTAACTGGACTGAAGAGCCCTTTATAGTCATCCCATTTCTATTAGAGGTCAGTCTGGCTGATATTTGACAATATTGACAATATTTAGATCTACATGTTTCTCATTGCATAAGCAGAATAAAAGCACATGGGAGAATTACTTTGTTGCTATTGTCTACTAATATTACACGTGTTTAGCATGTTTTAAGGCCAGGCTGTAGAAAAAATGTTTTATAAGAAATAGAAAATAACGTCTTAATGAAAATATAAAAATGCTGAAAATTTGGTTTGAGGGTTAGATTTAGAAGATGAAAAATATTATTAGCTCAGTATAAACACAACAGAAGACGATGGAAATACACATACAGCGCAAATATATATAAGAGAATAAAGCTATGCAATAATAATTTTGATCACTGCCTACCGAAATATGCTCGGATTATCTCTAATAGATATAATATGCATACTAAGAAAAGAAATATTGACTTCATAGCTCTTCATAGCTGCCCATCACTCTCTAAAAATATTTCCAATTCTCTAGGAATTAAAGAAACTATACCAACATGAGAGCAAAAATACTGACAGACAGTCCAGCAATCCAACCTTGAATTTACAGTAGATGTTTTGGCTTGCCCAAACAAAATCAAGGCGGGACTAGTATACAGTTAACCGCAGTGCATTGTGCTATTTGTAGTACACGCGCCTCTGACTCCAGAAGCCATCAAGGGATAAAAACTACATTTCCCCGCACTGACCGTCAGCCAGTCGTGCTCCTATTGGCTGGCCGATCCAGCCGCAGCCCCAGAGAATGAATGAAATTGAAATTGCTGCTATATTACATGTACAATACCGGGGATCTGCAGTCTTACATTGTATCATTCTATATCAAAATGGCCACAGTGGTCCAAAATCCTCTGAAATCGTAAGTAAAAATATTTATATTTTCATGTTTTATGGAATATATGTCATGCAACAAACAGCGTTCGTTCTAATTCACAAATATACAAACATCTTTAAAAGTATAAAATGCCGGCGAGGTTTAAACTACGAATGCATGTTGAAATGCAATAAATCATACTGCATGCGGCGACATTTTGTCATCTGGGCAAATATGGCATGTTATAAAGTGCAGTGTCTCGGGTGTCATTTCTGCATATGCACAGTGATATGGAGGAATGTTGAGAATGTTGACCCGGCGTCCCTGGTCAGTATTGATCACGGAGAACTTACAGTTGTTGGTATTGGAATCGGGAGAGTTTAAGATAAAAGATGATACTTGAACCTTTTTGCTTTTGCATAATATGATGTCAAACAAAATGAACTGGCATACTGTCTGTCAGAGGATTTAGATGCAAAACTGACAGAGCTGGAAAATGTTACAATTTTTCAGTGGTTACATTGCACGCGCTGATCACATAGCTACATTCGTTTGTACAAATGACATGCATCGTGGAAATTCATTCTTTATGTTATTTCTGAAGCAAATACATGTTCAAACATCTCTTATGATATCTCTTATGCGCCGTTGCAGCAGTGCACATTCTGTGAAGTTTCCTTTAGATTCCTTTGTGCACACATTTTTTTCGGCGTTCGGCACGCAGACGCCACACGGGCTCAGTGCCAAGAATTGCTTTACATTCGTCTGCTAGAGACGGAGACCTTCCGAATGGGGAGACGTGTTTGTGTTTGGCATGAATATGTGAGTGTAGCTTTTACATCTGATGAAGAGGACATTGCACTTGTGCCGGGTTTTAACCCGGGAGGTTGCATCTCTCTCCAGTAGGCTAACTTCCACGACTGGCCACCTGGACCCAGCAAGCTTGAAACGTCTCCACAACGTTGTATTTTGGTTGCAGTTGCTGGTAACATCCTTGTAGAGCGGTTTAAAAAAACGTTCTCCAAACCAAACTAAAAAATTATATATATTTAGGCATATGTAAAATTATACTTTAACAAAAACTAAACAAACCGAAAATGCGTTTCTGGGACGTTTTATTTAGTGTATTAGTTACATTTGGAGAGAATAAAACAACAACAACTAAAACCACAACCAGGCCAAATTGCAGAGCTTGTGGAATGTTATTTGTCTACATTTTAAACTTAAATAACAAAGGTTACCAACTTGATTGTCTAATCTGTGACTACACTGGGCACTGCTGCCAAACACTCTACTACATAAATTATTAATTATTATTCATATTATTTCAGCTTTGTGAATGGAAGTTCAGAGTCAGACAGGATGCAAGGTTTTATGAGGTAAGGAACTCTTACCTTATGACAAATTATAGCATTTGAATAACTTACAATGTTTAAAAAAAACAACAAACGAGAGTAATATTGGTCAAATAACATTCGGCAGTTGGTTACTATTGCGCTGCAATACAGCTTACTCAAATTTAAACGAACAGCTTTGACATAATTTGAATTCAGTCAAATATTTAGTAAAAATGTGCAGCAAATATAGCTTACGCCCTATCCTATGTAGTATGTGCCTCACATGATCTTTCTGAATGGAAGCCATTGACGAAACCAGTGCCGGGAGAGTAAGAGCTAGACTCAGATAAATAAATACTGTAATAAATGTATTATTACTCACTGTTGGTTAATGTTAGTTACTGCATTAACTAATGGGACCTAGTTTTAAAGTGTTGTAAATACGATTGTAAATTAATATTGTAGCCATTCAGTGATTGATTAAACTTAGTAGCACTATCTAATACTTTTCTGTAAAGGAATAAAACTGCTGTGGATTTTGTAAATAATGTAAACAGTTTTGACTCAGAGACTCATGTAAGTAACTTATACATGACAACTCCTGCAGTATCTTACTGGGTTCTCTTTGGTTCGATCAATTTCCCTGAGCGGTGAACTTTGTTGTTGACTGTGGATGGATGTTTTTAGTCATATTCGAGGTCAGGTGTGCTTCTCTGTGCATTTGAGATATTTGCATGAGGAACGTGAATGAACAGAAAGAGGGGCTGCAATCAGCGTCTGAATTACTGTGATGTTACGCTCTTCAATAACCCTCTTCAAAGAACCCAGTTAAAGTGCAGTACTTCTGGAGCCATGAGGAGATATCAGTTGAGGAGCCAATCTAATTTACATTACTGGCTTTTATAAATCACTCATTTTTAAGAGATGGTGATTAAATTATGCCTGCCTTGATTGCTGATTATCTGCTAACTGGCATGCCTTCACCAAAATGATGGCATTTCATTGGGAATCTTTGGATTAGTTTCCCACTGTTCTCGCTGCGTATTTCTCTTTGTTCAGTCTCTCTTCCTCCACTGGTCCTCACATCTCTCTAGTTATTACTCAGGTGCACTTACTGTCCTCTCGGACAGTATTCCGAGATTCGGAATGCAGACTTCTTGGATAGTTATTCCGCTTTGCCTCGCTGATCGGAGAAAAATGAGATCTCTATAATTCTTCACTCTGTCGCTCTTAAGCCGAAGACTGTCACCGGTTCTAGACCCTTCCTCCCCATCTCTATACTCAGGCCCTTTTTAATGTTTGTTTGCATAAGCGGCCACAATTCTATAAAGGCATTTCTCTTCTTCTGAGACTGGTGGGCTGTTCTCTTCATTTCACTCACTCACTCACTTTTTTTTCCCAGAGAGACTCTCTTTGTCTTCAAGAGGAGAGAGAGAGACACAGATAGGTATTTTTAGCTCTATGACCTATTTCTCCAAAGCTACCTAACTCACTGTCAGTCATCACACTGTTGCGCAGGCATCTTATAGTGCGCTGCTAGCATCTATAGTCTATATGTAGTGTTCTGTGGTGTTGCACTTGAACTTAGAAGTTGTTTAGAAGGTTAGAGAAGCGTGGTGTCCTCACTTTCACTCTTTTTCGGGAGGTGAGACACCTTGTGGGAAGATCATCAGATGTGGACTGAAGAAGACCGAGGGAGGGTGTCGCTTCCTGATGACTCAGTCTCGTCAGTGTGAACATCTGAGTAAAGTAGTTTGGAGAATAGAAGCTTTGGCCATGCAAAAATGTCTGGACATGAGAATTCTCATGAAATTTCACAAGAAAACATGTTTTTTAAGTCATGATACTATATTGATACACCATGAATCATTATTTTGTATTTTTATAATACATTTTTTAAAGACCAGCAAGAAGCCGGGAGATGTTTGCACCTAAATTTGTAAATAGAGAATCCTTTGGTGTGTAAGCTCAAAAACGGAAATAATTGTTGATGCCGATAGCCACGTGGGCAGCACTCCAGAATATAGAATTTTGGGCAACCCGAGTTTGGGTCCTGACTTGAGGACCTTTCCCAATCCCATCCCCTTTCTCTAGCACTTTTGCTTCTTGTTTGTCTATACTGCCCTATAGCAAAAAAAAAAACAGCAGAGGCTTGCACACATAAACATACGATTTTATTGTATTAAGTATACAAGAAGTCTTGCTTATTTTATTTATTTATTTTTTATTAATTTAGAATCCAAACTCAATATACAACAATTTTGGATAACCATAAAATACATTTAAAAAAATCACAATATTATTATTAGCCTATATAATGTGGCCCAGATTGTGAGATATACCATTGATTAACAGGCCAATATTTGGCAATGTTGAAATTATCGCCATTGATATTATCGATGTCGCCAGTTAACAAAAGTGTTTATCTTGCTTTTTGTCAGTTGCAAATTCAATCAACAGATGCATCAATCGATAGTAAACTGTTTATGTTTTACTTTTTTGTTTTTTTTGTGAATTTTGAGTAAATGCCAGCAAACTCTCATGGCATTCGTAACTATTTACATATGATCTCATTTGTATGTTTCTTCTGCTTGCTTGCTTGTGTCGTACTGGCGGTTAAATGGGTTAGTGTGGGACATTCATGTTTTTTTTCCCCTGAAAATCATGTTTCCATATGAATCATTTTTTGTGAATTCTGAGTAAATATTTAAAACACTATATGTAAATATTTACTCGGAATTAATATTGAAAACATGACAATTCACAACTATTTTATGTTTTGGCAAATCGCTGGCTAATTCAGATAAATTCGTATGATATCTTTTTGAAGAAAAGCTTACACCCAACTGATTTTGGGGGATAGGTTGAGACTTTCATGCATACTTTTTTTCTAATAATCGCACACTCTAAAAAAATGTTGGGTTAAAAGCAATTATTTCTGGGTTCTTTTGCAACCCAGCGCTAGGTAAATCTTGGACAGAACACATGTTGGGTTATTTTTGGGTTACAGGCTGAACCCAGCATTTTTTAGAGTATATGTTTGCATACAGGGTTGGGGAGTAACGGAATACATGTAACGGCGTTACATAATCAGGATACAAAAATCTAGTTACTGTAATCTGTTACAGTTAGATCACAAAACAAAGTATTCAGATTACAGTTACATTTTGTAAAAAGTGGGAATACTATCAGGATTACATTTGTTTAATTTAAAATGAAATAAATTAGTATTTTGACAACGCTTTATTTAGTGCTGGTTCATCATGCATCATGCTTCATGCTTCATTCCTGAACTCGAGCTGCGTCGGAGGACGCTTTGGGAACCACGTGTGTAATCAGTCCAATGGATGGGCGAGACGTCACGGGCATGCGTAACCTGAGACGTTCTGTTTACACATGTTGACTCACGTGAGCCACCTGCTGGTGCGTGCGTAAATAACACCCGTCTACAATTATTCTCCTCAAACGCGGGATGAGACGCTGCTGGGAAAAACGTTTCCATGTCTAAAAATTTCACAGTTATTTTGTTTTCAAAGAGGATAAAGGAAATATGCATGAAGACTCTTGCTTTAACAAAGCCTACTCAACCAACTTGAACATGTGCAGGTACGACTAGCATGGAAATCATTATGTTAGCTAAAATGTAGTGTTTGTTAGTGATTTAAAATTCCATGGTGTGCATGACTGCAGTTGTGTGTAAGTTTTCTA